CGGGAGGGCGGAGAGGATCGCTGCAGACCCGGTTCTGAGACAGGCTGAACTGAAACAAATAAGGTTATTCCAGAACAATAGCCATTGTCAAAGACAGTGGTCCTTCTACACTGAGTAACAGGAGAGTCATCTCGGTTCTGAGACAGGCTGAACTGAAACAAATAAGGTTATTCCAGAACAATAGCCATTGTCAAAGACAGTGGTCCTTCTACACTGAGTAACAGGAGAGTCATCTCGGTTCTGAGACAGGCTGAACTGAAACAAATAAGGTTATTCCAGAACAATAGCCATTGTCAAAGACAGTGGTCCTTCTACACTGAGTCGAGTAAAATTCCTCGTGTGTCCGACGCACCTGGACAATAAAGCAGATTCTGATTCTGATTGAAAAAAAAGCAACTTGAGGTGGCTGGGCCTTCTGGAAGCCTCCCTGTGGAGCTGTTCCAAGCAAGCCCAAGTATGAGGAGACCCAGGAGGAGTACATTTACATACAGTGCCTTGCGAAAGTATTCGGCCCCCTTGAACTTTGCGACCTTTTGCCACATTTCAGGCTTCAAACATAAAGATATAAAACTGTAATTTTTTGTGAAGAATCAACAACAAGTGGGACACAATCATGAAGTGGAACGAAATTTATTGGATATTTCAAACTTTTTTAACAAATAAAAAACTGAAAAATTGGGCGTGCAAAATTATTCAGCCCCCTTAAGTTAATACTTTGTAGCGGCCAACACAAACTAGACTTTTTCAGTAATTTGTTGCTTTGCTTTCCTTCATCAAAAGGACCTAAACAATTGTTAACCTCAGCTCGAAAATGATTTTCAGAACTCAAAGATCTCCGGTACAGCCTAACACTAAACAATTCCTCATGATCTGCCTCTGCAGGGGTACTAATGCCATCGGAGCCACACTGTATAAAACAAATACATGAAACGATCGATTTAATTCATGTAGACTGATGAATGCACTTTTGACTGTTTTGGCATTTTGTGATGTGACTTTGTGGTGTTGGGTGCCTTTAATCCTTGTGTATTTCATCTCACTCCAACAGTGTGTGAATACATTTTATATACTTCTGTTTGCAGGAGTGTGTGTGTGTGACAGACAAATAACATATGTACAATAGGTCAGAACAAAACTATCTGCCCAGTTAATGTAATTGTAATATGATCGTTAAATTGGCTCATGGATAGATGTTAAAACGAACCACCCTGTTGTTTATCTGTATTCAATGGCCCGTGAGTCAAAATTCACACCTAAAGTCATTCAAATGAATCATCATTAGCGTGGAAGGAAAATACTTAAACAAGTCTCACTCATCCACTAACATGAATTAGCGAATTGCGTGTTTGCTTAACTGCAACTAACAAAACGAGGATGTAGGTAAATATTGAAATTCCCTTCGATTGGTGGCCAGTCTGTAAAGCACCGGGTGAGCAGGCGCTCCCTATTGATGAGCTTCAGCTAATCCATCGCATTTCCCTGTAAATAGCTTTCTGCATGAGAAAGAGACCCCCCCCCCCCCCCCAGACAATGATCCAAAACATAAAGCAAAATCTACAATGGAATGGTTCACAAATAAACATATCCAGGTGTTAGAATGGCCAAGTCAAAGTCCAGACCTGAATCCAATCGAGAATCTGTGGAAAGAACTGAAAACTGCTGTTCACAAACGCTCTCTATCCAACCTCACTGAGCTCGAGCTGTTTTGCAAGGAGGAATGGGCAAAAATTTCCGTCTCTCGATGTGCAAAACTGATAGAGACATACCCCAAGTGACTTACAGCTGTAATCGCAGCAAAAGGTGGCGCTACAAAGTATTAACTTAAGGGGGCTGAATAATTTTGCACGCCCAATTTTTCAGTTTTTTTATTTGTTAAAAAAGTTTGACATATCCAATAAATTTCGTTCCACTTCATGATTGTGTCCCACTTGTTGTTGATTCTTCACAAAAAATTACAGTTTTATATCTTTATGTTTGAAGCCTGAAATGTGGCAAAAGGTCGCAAAGTTCAAGGGGGCCGAATACTTTCGCAAGGCACTGTATCCTGTGTTTCCTGCCAAAGCCTCGGTATCCTCCTGGAACAGGGCCCAATTGGCAAAAAAAAAAAAGTACATTTAGGTTACCTGATAGTGTAAGTGGGAGAAAATGGTTACATGGATAGATATACTATACACCTGGCAAAGGATCAATCATTAGGCCTGTCCAACATCACCCATCACAGGGGCCTCACTGACAGGGTTGCTGTGCCCACTGATGCGCTAGTCATTCTACTTCATGGCAACTTAACTAATGATATGGGCACAAGTAAACATTTCTCCCAAGGCTTTTTCTTTAGCAGAGACTAAGCTGGTTGTGGCAGCACTAGCACATTCACACCCTAGACTGGAGTTACAGGTAAGACTTTAAGAGGTGACCACTGAAGTCCAGATCCAAGACTTGCAGAAGGACAAGTGTGGAGTAGACGATTGATCACACCATTATCTGGTTTGAGACAGGTCATGTGAGAGTATGGCACCTGGCACTTGAACCACTTTCACTGGTTGTTGAAGGCTGTGAGGCACAGCTAAAAGCTAAAAATTCTAATAGATGTACCTTAAACTGAGACTGATGAGGTTAAGAATGAATTTCTGTGCTCCAATCTTAGATCACACTCTAGGTTGAAATTTAGGCATAAAGTTCCAAATTCCAGTTCTTTCATTTTTTCTGTTTTAATGACTCTGGTAAAATAAAGTCACTGAGAACAATAAGCTTGAGACATGACAAATAACTAAATAAAATTACTGGAGAGAATATGCTAAACTTATTTTTGACATTCACAACAAAGGCTATTAAATCCAAGCAGCAATGTCACAAGTCTTTACTATAAGACTGTCTATATTCCTAGGAGTTACTCAAAAGGTTACAAAATACACACACAGACTCAATCATAAGCATCTCACTAAGCTAGTGCACACGCATTTGCACACCGTTCAAGTGAAAAGAAAATATTAATATTTCTGAGGTGACTAGCATTTGTTACTGTTGAAGAAGGTCAGTTTCTCTAAAAGCATTTCAGAATCTGAGGCAGTAGTGTGTTATATTCCATCCAGCTAACGGGAGGTAGCATAAATTGCAAGGTCAATAGGCAAACAGTGAGGTAAATAGACACAAAGTAATAGTAAGCCAATCAGAAATGCTTGCTAGAGGATTCAGCAGGTTTGGTGATGGGCGGGGCTGGTAGCCATACATTAAGAAGAGTGGGATGGGCAGGGTTTGTTTTTTTTACCCAATCATTGATGACATGGGAGGGGGCCTCTGAGACTGATGTGTTCCTGATTGGAAAGCCCTGAGTGAGAGAAAGGGGATTCTGTGCAAACATGACAATTCAGACAGCAAAAATAAATACAGTAGAACAGAGACATCATTGAAGAAAGCAAACATTTTTCAGAGACAGTGAAAATAAAATAACATTTGAATGCACCAACAATGCCAGTGGAGACAAAACAGGCTGCAGGGTAAAGGGGAGCAGGGTGCAGGAGCTCTGTGGTGTCAGCCCAATGACATTTTTAGCTTCAAATCACATGTGGCTAGTAACAGTTTCAATTCTCATGACCACAACTTTAAAAAAATGGGTTTGGAATGTTCACACTGATATGCCGTTTCATACTGTATGTTAGAATAGGGTTACTCCACACTGACCCTGAAGCTTTTCTCTTGGAATGTGGCTATGCCATAAAAAACAAGGGCCAACATACACAAAACCCTTGTTCTATGAAAAAAGTTAATGCTCAAGTCTAAGACTCAAATTAAGCTTCAGCTGTCCCACTAAAGTCATTTGAACTGGTATCTTTCAAAGTCAGTCTATTTAAGACAAATGCCCATCTTTTATTTCCCTGACCAGTAGTTCCTTAGTGAGCTGTGGCAGAAAGATGGGAGGGACGACTCTTTCTCATTACAGTTAGTCTGGCCTCTCACCTGGGCTTCCTTTGCTATGGGAGACTATTGACAACCCTACCTGGGGCGGCTGTGGCTCAGGAGGTAGAGCGGTTTGTTTCCTAACCGGAGGATTAGCGGCTCGATTCCTGGTTGTCCAGTCAACATGTTAAAGTGTCCTTGAGCAAGACACTGAACCCCCAGTTGCTCCCGGTGATGTCACTGGTGTGTGAATTTGGGAGTGTGAATGGCCAAGTAGTGTAAAAGCGCTTGGAGTGTGCTGTAAAGCATAGAAAAGCGCTATACAAGTATAAGACTATTTACCTACCTCACACCTTCTGTTTTCATGCTGCATACTGAATGATGCAACATGGTTGGTTGAGGAATATCTTGAAGGTTCAAGATATTGCATCATTAATTTTCTGGCAGCCCGCAATATTTAGTGCGCAGACCAACATATATCAACTGCTGTCTGTAGCACGCAGTCAGTCAGGGGAGAGAATGAAAGATAACTGCACCTATTTTTGAGCATAGGACAAAAATGTACGCAGTGACATGCACCACTTCACTGGGGGTGTCTTGTCTAGGTTTATGTGGGCTTGTGCAAAAAACAATTGATGTGAAGGTTTGGTGGGCATCATAATAATTGTTCCTTAATGAAAGGCCAGTAATAGGCCATAATGTATTGTACTGTACAACAGCATGCTGGTTTGTCAAGTTAATACCATCTTTTATGTTCATACCTTCACTGAACTGAAATGACCCAACTGCCTTTATTGTGCCTTTTCTTGCTGTTTGTTATCCTCTGAGTGTTGTAAAGCATTTTGGATCAAATGTGTTGTGTGTAAAGTGCCATACAAATAAAACTAAAGTGAACTGAACTGAATTAACAAGATGCTAGCTGAGGAGTGAAAAAGAATTTAATGAAAAACTACAATTTTATTGCAACTTGAGTTTTCTTTCTGTAGCTTTCCTCATTTGTTCTGTTGGTTATGATAACAATGTACTGACCAAAGCGCTGAGATGTCTTGCCTTGTTAGAACTACTTCACAACATTCCAGTCTCAGCAGTTACTTTCCCAAGTACAATGGTAGCATAATTAACAAAGCCGATATATAAAACCAACTAAATGGTGAGATACAAAAGTTTTCCTTTCTTTTATTTTTAGTGAGCTCTTGCCCTGCTTCCCTTTACTAGAAACAACAAAACAAGAGAACAAAAAAAAAAAGGATGGATTTACAGAAGTTTACATCAAAAGCAACACCTGCAAACAAAAAGCAGCTGGAGGAAAATGTGACACATTTGAAACTTAAAAGAAAGCAATGAGATGAGTCATCATCTTGCTCAGTCTGTGCAGGACCAATAACCAGACAGTCTTCCCCACAACTTTCTCCTTTGTTCTTTCACATTCTTTGTCTTTTATTTAGCTCTAAGTCAGTGGCCTTAATCACAGTTTTAGTCAGATGACAAAAAGTTTTTTGGTCTCTTATCTTATTATTGATATTGATCTTTTTTTCAAATGATTCTGTTTTTCCTGCTCTTCTTGTGTTAAAATTGATGTAGTATCTTCAGCCAATAAGCAAAGCCTGGAATGAAGATTGAAGATAATTTCAGTCAAACACCTAATAACTGTGCTTGTATTGTCCTATTTCCCACCCCCCAGCTAAGCTCTCAGGCTGGTTATAGGTCACTGTGTACAATGGATGTGTGGTATAAGGCATACCCCGCCCTCTCCTTTAGTTTCATATCAGTAATGCCATCTTTGGACACCAGTTTGTTAAAAACGAGAATCCCAATAACCATGTTTACCTGCCAAAGAGAAGAGGCACAGGATTAAAGCAGAGCAAAGACAGTTTCATCACTTCAGAACATGCAGGGCTATTCTGATGATGATGGTCAACATGACAAGATGATGACAGCAGCATGCACATAATTGTTATCTCACACACACACACACACACACACTAGCCTACCTACTGTTGGCTCTGCACTGTGGACTATGCCATCTTAAATGTTAGTAACAAAAACTATCAAGCACCCAGTGAAGCATGAGAAATAATAAAAAAAAAAAGTTTAAATACAAATGGTGTGCTGAAAAAAGAAATCATACATAAAATATAAGCTGTGTGAAACCACAGGCGGGGGGTGGGGTAAATCTATGACTGTAGTAATTCCTACTATTTTAGTGCTTTGAGGATTCACCGTCTACAAAAATCTGTTTTACAATCCACCCTGCTATTCAGAGTGAGCTGGGCCTCCAGTGTGGCTGCCAGCTGGAGCAGTAGCGCTTTATTAAAAAAGCAGCTCGTGGAAAAAGCGCAGCTGAACCACGCTGTTCACTTGTAGGTGGGAAAGAAGCACTGGGAAGTGAATCACTGAAACTGTAGCTAATGGATTTGATTAGTGAAACAAGGACTCAGTGTCACTGTAGTGTGTGTTCTGCCAGTGCTCATGTCTGTGATTTATACTGAACATGAGGGGAGTGGAGGTGGAGATTATACAGTTGTATGCAATTGTTTGGGTAAATGACATTTTATTTATTTATTTTAAGCAAAAAGAAGCTAATGCAATACTCAGAGCAAACTGAAATAAAAACTGCCTTTCTTGAAGTGTTAATGCAATGTTACTCTTTGTTTCATGAACTTACAAAATAGAGGGGGAAAAAAACAAGAACATGGCAAAGGTTCCGGCACCCAATAAAGTCAGTACTTAGTAATGTTTTTTTTTTCTTTGTTTTGAGTACATAAATGAAAATTGAAGGTGCCCAAGCTTTTGCATACTACTGTATATGAATTATTTAAACGGGAGCTGTGTAAATGGACCATGTGCTACTCATTGCAGAACATAAAGTAAACTGTTAACTTTGTGATAGTATTTTTTGTTTACTGTTAAACTGTCTAGGGCCTGGTGTAGGACCATAGGATAAGAAGTTTTAAAAACTATCTTTAGTATGACTGTAGACCCACTTTGATGTTATATATATGCCGTTAATTAGTTTAGAATGTTCTAAATAAAAAATTGTTTAACATGATAACATTATAACTAAGCTTGTTAACATTCTTACTATTATAAATCCTGCAGAGATAGCATATAAGCAAACTGACAGACAGACTTAAAGTGAAAGAGGAAATACCAAGACAACAGCGGCAGCAGGTCCAACAAATGCATAAAGAAGCCCTCCTTCCAGAGATAGCCAGCAGCTACAAGGAAACAGGCAAAGAGTGATGTGATTAGAAAAGATGATGATGGAGGAAAGTGGCAGAGAGGAATATGAAAAGATAGAAGGAGAAAGGATAGAATAAAGGCAGAGGAGTATGTGCATGAATGAGGGTGGTAGAAGATGACACAAAGAAAGAGAGAGGTTAATTATACTGAAATCATAAATCCTTAACCTGCGAGAAGGTAGATGGTGAGAGATTGATAGAAAAGCATGCTTACTAGCTTGGTGTTCCATATCCCTTTGCCTTAGTGAATCCCACTGAGATAGCCACAACTAATGCAGGGAGACCTGGGAGGAAAATCAAACTTTAACAAGGAGAAGTGACAGAGACCATATGAATGACATAATGAACAGCGGACAGAAAGCTCACCCCAGCCAAGACACAGGAAGCGCTTGCGTATAATCCGATTCCTGAGGCGTCCCGTCACAGCCATGTATGACTGCCACGCCTCTGTCAGAACCCAGCAGAATGAGGATAGGAAGAAGAAATGAAGGAACGCAGCAATCAGGGTGCACAAGATCTGAAACAATAGAATAAGACAAGGCCACAGAGAACATGTCAGAAAAAAGATTTTTAATGTATATGTAATCACACAAAGTGACTCACTGTGATTGTGCATCCGAGATTCTGATTGGCTCTTACTTTATTCCGTGTCTGAGTCTGCCCAATCAGAATAAGGGCATTGGAGGAGATGATGGAAAGGCAGAAGTTGATGAGGATGACTGAGCGCTCAGACCGAATGTACCTGCATTAAAAAGAAGGGAACGTAAAAAAAAAACCCTCTTACTGTGAATCTTGTCAAGATCAGTAGTTGGGTTTTGTGCCTTTTCTGGATAATAGCAATGATTTGATTATGTAAAATGATGCATTTTGTGTTTCAATGTGAATTTCAGACTTTCCCTTTCCCAGCCCCAGGTTCAACATGTTTTTCACTTCATTTGTCCACCTTGTCATTGTGTTCATTTGTGCCAGTTTCTGTCTGCACGGTGTCAGCGGACTATCAAAATTCAGACTATATACATTTGAAGAAAACTGAATAAGCTTTCCACAGCAGAACAAAGAAACATTAGAGCCAGCAGCATATTTTATTCAACATTACCATGTATCGTCACACAACAACCAAACAAACTATATTTAATGCAATTGATCCACTGTTATGCACTGCATGAAACAAACTAGAATTACCTCTTCATGGCTGTACGCCTCTGCCAACCTGTCAAATTCACAAGACATGAGGTCACTGTGACCTTGATCTGACCTGTAACCACCAAAATCTAATCAGTTCATCCTTGAGTCCATGTGGACACTTGTACCCAATTTAATAAAGAAATTCCTCAGAGCATTCCAGGAATATGTTCATAAGGATGGGAAGGATGTAGGGGCTACCTGAAAAAATGCTGCCTCTGGCCACAGCTATCACTGACACAGAGGCATAAAAACCTTTACACATCTGAAACAAATTATGAAATAACACAAAACTACAGATAATTTTAAAACAATAAACCATTAAATCAAGGTTTTGCCCAGCAGTACCTAAACCAGTTTAATATGGTTACTGGTTTACTTGAAAGTCAGCACATCATTTGATGGACAATTTTAAGATATAGTTCTGCCATATACTATCTTTTATTATCAGAAAGCTGCATGCAGTTATGTAAGAAAATGGCACTGGTCTTAGCAGTCCAGATAAGCTCACACACTGTGTGTCCAACATAACGGTGCATTCAATTCAGTGGTATTTACTTACAGCATCCATATGAATGACTCACTGTCGATCACTGTGTACATTCACAAATTTCACTTTTTTTAAACCTATTTTGTTCAGAATTGAGCTGTGAATTGCAGAAGTAAACCAAATTATTTCAGAAAAGAAACCAGTGAGGAGTCTATTGAAAACAGCCACATATTGTGCACTTGACTTCTGTTTTTCCACTCCTGAATGCTTTTATGAGAAAAAGTTAAAAGGTCAAAGTGTTTGTCATATGCACAGTTAGGAAACATGTTTCCCTGTACAATGAAATTCTTACTTTGCTGTCCATATGAATGCCACACAATACAAATGAAATATAAAGTAGATAAATAAATAACACAAAATCTAAGGCACTTTAAGTGTTATGGTTTAGTCCCCCTAACCAGGAGGGTGAGGGAGAACTGAGGTAGGACTCAAGATTGCTGACCCAGGTGCTAGTAAAAAAGGTGGTTTAATGGTGGGAATCACAAAAAGGAACAGAGTCAATGAACACATACAACCAGGGCTGGGTAAAGACGGCTGAGGAGACCAGGATGACCAGGGGAGTAGACAGGCTAACGGCAGAAACCAGGAGAGTGGGAGGAACAGGACGGACAGGTGAATAGACAAACTACCCAGGAGGATTGGCTAACGAAAAAGGAAATCCACAGCACAGGAACCGTCAGCGTGAACGTCTAGAGGCGAATAACACAAAACATGTAACCAACGTACAAAATGAGATCTACAGCACAGGAACTGTCATTGTGGAAAACAAAACGACGTATGGTACATACCACAACTATAGGTCTGTTACGGGGTATGCAAGTTAGGTAAGTTAATGCTCCGGTGACAACCTATGCCATAGGTATAAATAAGGAGGAAAGGTAATCATAGGAAAGCACCCCAGCTGTGCGCACAGACAAACGAGTCGCTAATTACCGAATGCAACACAGCTGAGGTGCAGATCCCGCAAGTCGAGAGAGCAGGGGAGAGAAAGGCGGAAGAGAGGCAAGTGGACCTGACGTTAGGCAGCAGGGACGGTTATATTTTCTCTGTTTTCTATTGAAACCACTCATCCAGAACATGCTAGGAGAATCTTTCTCTCATCTGTTTTTATATTTAGTAGCAGAGTCTCTTTTTGCGTTTCAGGTTAAATGTGCATTAGCTAAGATTTTGCAGTCTGAAAAATCCAGTGAAAATGAGGCAGCAGATAGTGTCTCTCAGCTATACTAATCCATTCCATGACACTCTGCTGCCTACAGCCCCTCTGCTGCTATTCCCGCTTCTGGACCCTCTGTTCTGATAGTCAGACCAGACATTAGCCCCACCTGCCACCTTGTGGAGGTTATAAGAAGCCTTTTTCAAAAGCCAGCCATCATTTCCAACAGCCACTCACAAAGCACCTTTCATCTGCTAAAAGTCCAAAACAGTGGCTGCCAGAGAAAAGAGGTCACATTGTTCTTCACAGAGAGAGTGGGACCAATAAAGAGCAAAAACTGGGATTAACAGTCTGGCTTTTTGGGATGCTGAGTATTAAAAGCAGCCAAAAGACTCAGATTTGACTGACTCTTTTCAGGATTGTCTCCTCATTGTCATTTGACATTGTGCTGCTGTAGAGCTGGGACTTGTTAGTCTGTTAAGGCTAAGGTACACCCTGTGCTTCCTTTAACCTTTACCTTGCATAACCTCAAGGGTTGATGTGCACAGTCCTGTGTTGCTTTTCCACTGTAATTATCGCTGTGTTGCTCTCTGTTTAGAGGACAGATGAGATGTGCTTCGCTCTCTTTCTCTCTCTCACACACAGCTGAGCAGAGGGAGAGCAGAGGATATGAAGGATCATCCTACAGTGCAACAATCAGCTAGTAATAGAGACTGTATGAGCAGTTTATCAAACAGCTGTTGAACAAGCAGAACACAATCTTGCAGAAATGTGACATCTTCACCGCTTTGCCCATGGTCCACTCACTGAAGCCCCTGTTTTACCTCTAAAACTATAGGTGAAGTGCTTGTTTAGCTATTACAGTGGCTGCAGTAGTCAGGACATGTCAGTCTACCTCCTTGCACTTGTATACCTCCACCAACCAGTCAAATTCACAGAAATCACACGGATGTAAGGTCACTGACCTTTGACCACTGACCAACAAAAACTAAGCAGTTCATCCTTGAGTCCAAGTGGACATTTGTACCAAATTTGAAGAAATTCCCTCAAACCGTTCCTTACATATCATCACTTGTGCGGAGGCATAAAAAATTTATTAATGCACCTTTAACTAACAAGATGACAGTTTGTGCCGATGCTAATGCTTCTGTCTTTACAGTCTCGTGTTTCCAGTGCAAACAGTTTGAACTCCTCCCCTCTGGACAGTGCTACAGGTCACTGTACATCAAAACAACCAGACACAAGGACAGTTTCTTTCCCCAGGCCAGAACTCTGATGAACACTTAACGCATGTCTGTATAACATAAACCAGCACCCAATATATATATATATATTCCCCCCATTTTCTTCTTCTTTCCTATTTTCAATGCACATATTTTCCATAATTTCTGTAACAGAGACCAATTCCTTATGTGTTTAAACATACTTGGTCAATAAATGTGATTCTTATTGTCATTCTGATCTCACCTCCAGACAGACACATAGATGATGATGAGCAGCAACAGTGTCAGTGAAGACACTCCACAGCCCACAATCAGTGTCACAGACGGGAGCTGTGTCTTATCCATGTTCTGAAAAAAATGAAGAGGACACAGAAGAAGAGTGTGAAAAAGTGCTACTGGCTGTGTCTAAACATTATTGGACTAATCAAAGCAGTTAGCAGCTCCAGCCAAATTATACACAAGTGTCATAGTGCCCATATCATCAGCATGACAGATGGAAATACTTCAGTGAAAAACAGGACAACCATGACTACAAACAAAGTCAGAGAGAAACTTTTGGCATGGCCTTGCAGATCTGTGGTGTGAACAGATTTTGACAAGAGCTGAATACAAAAACAAAAAAATCCCCAGCTGGCTTGATTTGCTGAGAGCTCACCTCCTAAATGGGTCATTCATGCTTCAAAAGCACTGGACTACATTTTTCATACCACTGCTTCAGTCTCTATTGCTCTAAGCTTTTCGTGCAAGTTCTCAAAACAGTGGAGTTTAAGTGTTTCATCAAACTTCAAAACCTGGTGTACTGATACACCTTTGAGTTTACTTCGGTATCACTGCAGCAAGGTGAGAAGTTAGACCACTGGCAGTACAGTCAAGACGGAAAGTATTCAGACCCTTTCAAGTTTACACATTTTGTTATTTTTCAGACTCATCTTAAACTGGATTCAGTTTAGTTAAAACAGGTTTTGGAGTGTTTTATTAATTTATATAATAATAAAAAAAAGACATCCCATTTACATAAGTATTCAGACCCTTTGTTATGACACTTACAGTTGAGCTCTGGTGCATCCTACTCCTATTGACAGTCACTGAGATGCTTCTACAGCTTGGTTAGAATTCACATGTGCCTAATTTATTGAATTGGGTGTATTCTGTATAAGGTCTCACAGTTGATGGTGTATGTCAGAGTGAAAACAAAGCCATGAGGTCTAGAGAATTGTCTATGCACCTGCGAGACAGCATTGTATCAAGACACAGATCTGGGGAAGGATACAAGATCATTTCTGCAGCACTGAAACTGTCCAAGAGCACAGCAGCCTCCATCATTCTCAAATGGAACCAGTAGCAGTCTTCACAAACTTGGCCACCCAGCCAAACTGAGTAATTGGGAATGAAGGACCTTGGTCAGACAGGTAACCAAGAACCCAAGGGTCACTGAATGAGATCAAGAGTTCCTTTCTGAAGACGGGAGAACCTTACAGAAGGACAACCATCAGCACAGCACTCCACCAATCTGGCCTCTATAGTAGAGCGGCCAGACGAAAGTCATTCCTCACTAAAAGGTACGACACCCGCTAGAAGTCTGGCAAAAGGCACCTGAAGGACTCTCAGACCATGAGAAGTACACAGAAAAAGAGTGTCCTCTGGTCTGATGAAACAAAGATTGAACTATTAGCCACAATTCCCAACAGTGTGTGTGGAGAAAACCGGGCACTGAGCATCACCTCATTAATACCATCCCTACACTCAAACACGGTGGTGGCAGCATCATGCAGTGGTTTTCTGCAACAGGAACTGGGAAACTAGTCAGGAGAGGAAGGACAGATGCAGAAAAATGTAGAGCAATTCTGAATGAAAACCTCCAGAGTGCTCAAGATCTCAGGGTGAGGTGAAGGTTTACATCTCAACAAGACAACGAACCAAAGCAAACCACCAAGAAGACACAGGAGTGGCTTCCAGAAAACTCTGTGAAAGTCCTAGCCAGAGTCCAGACCTGAACACAACAGCACATCTCTGGAAAAACCTGAAAATGTACCAACGCTCCCCATCCAACCTGGCTGACCTTGAACAATTCTGTCAAAAACAATGGAGGAAATTTACAAAACAAAAAGGTGCCAAGCTTGCAGCTTCATTCTCAAGAAGGCTTGAAACTGTCATTGCTGCCGAAGGTGCTTTAACCAAGTTCTTATGTAAATGAGAAATTTCAGTCTTTTATTTTTAATGAATTTTCAAAACAATCAAAACTTGTTGATCATTGTGGGGTACTGTGTGTAGAGTGGAATGAGGACATTTTTTTAAAATCCATTTTAAGATGAGTCTGAAACATAACAGAATGTGAAAAAGGGTCTGAAAACTTTCTGTACTGTGTATAAGTAAAAAAAAAAAAAAAAGTCAACATATGATAAACTGTGTGACAAGTTCCTACTATGGAGACAAACAGCCACATAGCCACTCTGAACCTGTTGCTCAATATGTGTCAGCTTCCGCTTTTACATGCATCTGTGTGTGGTTCTGTGGACACAGATACCACAGGCAGTATAGAAAATTGGACAAGTCAACTTGGAAGACTGATGATTTAACTAGAGACACAAAGATAAATGATCAGAGTCAGTAAGTTCAAGCATGTAGCCCCAGTTGGCTGGCTATAAAGAAGTCTGTTTAAAGAGTTGTAAAGGCTACCAGGATGACTCCACATACCCACACACAAACCAAAGGAAGCCCAACACTGCCTTAAAGAGCTGTGAACTTACAGTAAGTAAAATTTCACTGCTGTTCCTTCAAGTAAAGAGGCTTTCTACCCTGACAAGAATAATGTTATGTGTGGAATACACATACACACACAGAGAAGTTGACAGAATGGCTGCTTTTTGAGCTTCATTTGCAAAACAAGGTGACTTCAAGGTGATTCATGAATACTGTAAACCACAATACCTAACAGATGCATAGGTCCGTACACACACACACCCTTAGTGGAGAATGCCAAGTCAACTTCACATAATGAACATGTGCACAAGACTGACATCCTGAAAACTGACAGCTAAACATCATCCTCATGCTATAGCAGACACTATCTTGGTTGCCATGGCAGCAACAGCTGCAGCAGGGTGAATGGGCAGTGCATTACACTGTGTTCATGCCTGTGCTGCTTGTGATATTTCAGTTTGCTCTCTAAATATAAGCACAATTATTCAAAGATTATTTCTAACTATTTTCTTCATTACAAGATACATATTTTGTTAAGTTCATCTATTTATATAATCCTTTATCCAAATAAAATCTCTGCATTGCAGAGAAGAAAAACCTTTCCAGATTTTGTAAATCAACAAATCACAGAACATTTAAGTAATACAGTATGCAAAAATACATATAAACAAAAGCAAACCAACAAACAAGGTAAATACAGAGCACGTCTGTAAAAATAAAGCCAAGCACCAAACCTACTGTATCCAAGATTATCTGGCATCACTAACCTTAGAGCCCTTTGATACAAACAATACTAACTACTGCATCAGAAGATACAAGTTGTCATTCTGCTTGGCACAAGAGGGCAGCTGCCACAAAAGCCTCAGGTTAAAATTAAACATACACAGGACAATGTGTCAAAAACTAGAAAAGATAAGTAGTATCTCACAAATCATTGGCCAAACTGTACAATATACAAACATTCATCTGCACATACAGTAGTGTGTAAAAGTTGTAGGCACTTTAGATGTTTAGATTCTTAACCATCCTGCAATACTATCAGGGAGGTGTCTGATTAGTACCTAATTCATTCTGCAACACTGACAACAACCCCAGGTATGCAGTCTGTATCATAAAGAACAAGGAGTCCTGCAAAAGATGGTGTGGCCCCCACAGAGCCCTGAACTCTACATCATGAAGTCAGCCTGGGATTACAATGAAGCCGACGACATTGAGAAAGACTGAATCCACAGAATAACTGTGGCCACCAGCTCTTCAAGATGCTGGAATAACCTACCTGACTAGTAGCTTGAAAGAGCATATTCAAGTGTACCAAGGAAAACTGCTGCTGTTTGAAAAGCAAAGGCTGCTCATGGCAAGAATTTTCTGACTTAGTTTTTTTTCTGTTTACTGCAATAGTAAAAAGTCAATTGATGCATAAAATCTTTTCATTACATTATTTTTGAAAGCATTGCTGCTTTACTTTTGGTACTTTAACTGTTGCACAGTACTGTAAATACTGCCAATAAAAGTTGGCATACATGTAGATTGCTTGCTCAGATCCATACTCTTCTGTACTTATTTATCAGACAGCTATTGATCTTGGTCAATTTAGCCTAACCAGCATGTCTTTGGACTGTATTCAGACAAAACCCATGTAAGCATGTGGAGAACATGCCAACTCAAATGCAAACCTCATTAATACCATCCCTACAGTCAAACATAGTGGTGGCAGCATCATGCAGTGGGGATGGTTTTCTGCGACAGGAACTGGGAGACTAGTCAGGATAGAGGGAAGGATGGATGCAGAAAAATGTAAAGCAATTCTGAATGAAAACCTCCAGAGTACTCAGGATCTCAGGCTGGGGTGAAAGTTTACATTTCAACAAAACAATGATCTGAGTCATACCACCAAGAAAACACAGGAGTGGCTTTGGGAAAACCCTGTAAAAGTCTTGGAGTGGCCCAGCTAGAGTCTATACCTGAACCCAACAGTACATCTCTGGAGAAACCTGAAAATGGCTGTGTACCAATGCTCCCCATCCAACCTGTCTGACCTTGAACAATTCTACCAAGAAGAATGGAGGAAATTTACAAAAGAAAGGTGCCAAGCTTGCAGCTTCATTCTCAAGAGGACTTGAGGCTGTCATTGTTACCAAAGGTAACCAAGTAAAATTCCAAAACAAAGACGCCAAATACTAAGTGAAGGGTCTGAATACTTCTGTACATGGGAGAGTTCAGTCTTTTACTTTTATTTAAAAAAAACAAAAACAAACAAAAAAAACACTCTAAAAACTTGTTTTCACTTGATTGTTGTGGAGTATTATTTGTACACTGGTGAGAAAAACAAGAACTGAATCAATTTTAAGATGAGTCTGAAACATAAAATGTGGAAAACTTGAATGGTCTGAAAACTTTCTGTACCGACTGTATCATCAACTCTGTCACATGGCTCTAAGCATGATCATAAACCATCTTAGTATCTCTTCAAAGACAGAGTTTTCATCTCAGGTGAATGCAGCATAAAATTACTCTTCTGCTCATTTCACAAATATCAGTGTAACACACTGCCAAGCATGCCTAAACATCAAAGAAACCTTTCCTCCAGCTCTATAATTATTATGTTCTGCCATGGCAAACAAATAAGAAACTGACTTCCCCCCTTACAT